GCTGAATGAGACGCATATTCACTCTCTGCCAGCAGGTGGCGCTTAAAGCGTTTCCGCTGTAAACAAAGAAGCGCTGCACATATGAACTAGATGCAAGATGAAAAGAAAAAATACCATCTAAACTTTTCTAAAGACAGTAAGTTCCCCTCAGACATACATTCATATAAACTCCTGTCCCTAACTGAATCAGGATTTGTTTAGTATCTCAACCGATTTGAATCGTCACATATTTGAATCGATTTTAAACCGGCTCGCGGTTAATCGTTACATCCCTACCAGTGAGCCTTGCCAAGATGGCCACCTAATGGGACTGCCTTGCCTTAATGGGACTTTGCTACAGGAAAAGGGTTTCAAATTACAGCACAACCACAATTCTGAAAGACTTCACAGAAACATTTAAATTTAAAACTTACCTTCTACTTTTTCCCTTTTCGTGGTGCTTATGAGTTTCTTCAAGTTTACTTTCTGTTTCTGTAAAAAAAGTTTTATATTACAATATTTTGTAATCATTATCACATGTGCTATTCAGAACTGTTGTCATGCACAACACAACAGAGCTTAGAAATACCTTTGGGCTCAAATCTAACTCATCATCATCATCATCATCATCTGATGAAGGCCAGGAATCAGCAGCACCACTTTTTGATGCCCTGCAAATGAACACAATGTAGTGTTTGATAAAAGTAGCTGCTTTTATCTCCCATTCCTGTTTTGACATATCAATGACATCTCACCTGCTAATGGATTCTGTGTGAGAATTGTCCTCTGTATCTGAGGAGAGAAATAAAAGAGATTATCTGCGCTTAAGACAAGATACAGCCTAGCCAAAAAATTACCCATTGCTAATACAAACATTTTCTTGCAGTATAGCTAACTAGAGATCTAAAGACCCATTCACAATTAGAGAGACTATTCATTTGTGGTGAAACAATGCATTCCTACAGACCTATTCACACCGATAAATTATGTTTTTATCATTTTTTATCATTTGTTTGGCAAAACACTCCAAAAAGACCAATGGGTTAAGACCAATAAGCATTTGGGTCAAGTATATAAAACCGATTACATATTCTACATAGATGCAGAGCAAAAAGCAGTTTGAAGTAGTTACTGATAAAGTGAGATTATGTTTAATGTATATTACCACAACATCTGTAACAGCTATTACAGTACAATTCTATTATAGCATATACTTCTATATCACAGCATTAAAGAGTGCCGCAAGCATTTACTGATAAAGTGAGATTATGTTTAATGTATATTACCACAACATCTGTACAGCTATTACAGTACAATTCTATTATAGCATATACTTCTATATCACAGCATTAAAGAGTGAGTGACAATTGCCTTAAAATACATTGAAGTACATTACATAAGTAAAACATTACTTTTACATTAAATTACATTAAATTTGCAATGTCTGCTGAGCTGTAGGCCTTTTTTTTTACTTAAATTGTTAAAGACTGGATTTTTTTTTCACCCAGTCTCATTTTTTAACTTCATTTCAGGTGTCAGTAGGTCTTATTTAATCTAGCGTACAACACACAAAGAAGAACAGCTCCTATGACAAGACATACCATGGTTTACCATTCAGCAACACTAAATGATTTCATACAACTCTTATAAATATTGTGTTTTGAAGGAATAGTTCACACAAAAATAAAAATTGGCTGAAAATGTACTCACCCTCAGGCCATCCGAGATGAGTTTGTTTCTTCATTGGAACAGATTTGGAGATTATTACAGTATTCCATCACTTGCTCACCATTGGATCCTCTGCAGTGAATGGGTGCCGTCAGAATGAGAGTCCAAACAGATGATAAGAAGATCACAATAATCCACAAGTAATCCACACCACTCCAGTCTATCAGTTAATTTCTTGAGAAGCAAAATGCTGCATGATTGTAAGAAACAAATCCATCAAGGCGTATTAACTTTAAACCATTGCTTCTGGCCAAAATAATCCATAATCCATAATCACACCTCCTGCAGTGGAAAAGTCCATACCATGTTGTCCTCTCACATCAAATCCATCAACATAGAGCTGTTTTGGCTTGTAAACACTGCTCTATGCATATTTCTCTTCTGATTCAGAAGCGATGACTTTTTCACTGGTGGAAGCAATATTATGGGTAGAGGACGTATTTTAAAAGTCTTAATGATGGGTCATGTCTGCATGGTTTTCCATCACAGCCAGCATCAGTGGAGTGTTGCCATCCTGTCAATCAAACCACAACAAAACAAGACTGGACTGCATTAACTATCTTACCTTTCAACGCACAAGACGATCACTTTTGGTTTATAAGTGCATCCTTACTTGAAGGATGAACTTCTGGCTCAACCAATGTTAGGAGTAAGCATTTTAGTGTATATTATGCAGTATGCACTAAGTAGTCTATTATTTCTGCAATTTGGCACTGCAGAAATGAAACACTTCATCTTTATGTATCAGACATGTGCTGTGTGTGGTTAATACTGTAATAATCTGTCGGAACACTAAAGTTTCACCTTGTTCTGCGCGTTGATGTTGGCTGAGTGCTCCAGGAGCTGCAGCGTCACAGGTAGGGAGGGGATACGGGCGGCCAGGTGCAGTGCCGTGTTTCCATTGATGTCCACCAGGTTGGGGTCAGCCTCATGGTCCAGGAGCAAAGAGACAGAGCGGTCTTGTTCACACTGAACCGCCTACAATACATGCATAACCACAAAGACATACCAGTCAGCTTGTATCTATATGTATATGATTTCACAAGAACAAGCGGAGTGTACCTTCATTAAGGCAGAGCGGTTCTGATTGTCGCATAAGTTCAGCTTCACTTTGCTCTCCACCAAGAACTGAACCACATCTCTGTGTCCGCAGGCACAAGCGATGTGCAGCGCAGTTCTGCGGGTCCAATCACAGAGGATAAATGACAGCATTACTGCACATACAAATGATTAGAAGCTACAAAGAGTTTAAAACAATAGCAAATAAGTTTGTTTTTTTTAAAGGAACTAATACTTTTATTCTGCAAAGATGCATTAAATTGATCAAAAAGTGGCAGTAAAAACATGTTACAAAAGATTTCTATTTCAAATAAATGCTGTTCTTTTGAACTTCCTATTCTTCAAAGAATCCTGAAAAAATGTATCACGGTTTCCACAAAAATATGAAGCAGCACATGACGGCACCCATTCACTGCAGAGGATCCACTGGTGAGCAAGTGATGTAACACTAAATTTCTTCAGATCTGTTCTGATGAAGAAACAAACTCACCTATATCCTGGATGGCCTAAAGTTGAGTACATTTTCAGCAAATTTTCATTTTTGGGTGAACTATTCCTTTAATCTCTGAAATGGTAAAGAATAATGTGTCTGATCTACAGCACATCGATTGGCACACACTGGCAATACCTTTCCTTGCTCCTGCGGAGCTGCTTCCTGCTGCTACAACAGATGAGTGTGGAGTAACAATGGGGAAACAGAACCAAATCAAAACACTGCAGTCAACACTGCAGCAATACTGACGTACATATACAGATGACACTGAAAACCTTGAATTATGCAAATCGAGTAAAACACAATTAGACTCACCATCTTTATCCAGAGCTGGTCCTCCCAAAGCCAAATCAGCCCCAATACCACCAGGGCTGCCGAGCACAGACGTCTGTTTCTTTTTGCTGGCAGTGAAATGGGAAGGTGACTGAAGGGATCTTCTCTTCGTCCCATGCTCAATAATCAGATGTGAACATCTGGAACAGAACCATTACTGATGAGCTCCTACAAGCAAATGCTTCAAACAAAGCTTTCTGTTTTAAAACCACACAACATCTGCAGTGCATTTCCATTAACAAAACATTGCCAGTGTGAACATATCGCTATCACCATTTCAAATGTTCCTTACTTACAATGAATTAAAACAGGTAATAGCAACACAAATTGCCAACATTCATTGCGAAACCAACATACAAACAAAGTAAGGACTTTGTATTTAAAATCAGATGGTGAGTTTGAAATATAAGCAGGCAAAAGAAGAAAGCCCTTACGCGTGATGTCCATTCATGACGGCATAATCATCAGAAGACCAGCCCTTATCATCTTTCACTGTGATGTCGGCATCGTACTGCAGGAGCAAACGCACCATGCTGATTTGTCCATTGCATGCAGCTATCATCAACGCAGACCTTAACAATGACAGACAGAATGTGAATCAGTGAAACTAAAAATACTAGAAAACATTTGTTAACAAAACAGAACAGAAAAAAAAGTTTTATTTCAGTTCTTTGCGAAGACATTTTTCATTTCCATTTTGTTTTAAGCGCTGAAATTACTAAAACTGAAGTAAAATAATTAAAACACTAAACAAAAACAAATATAATAACAATATAACAATAATAAAATAACAAAAAATGACTAAAACAAAATTATAAAAAAACTACAACTGAAAAAAACGTAATAAAAACAAATACGACAATAACAAAATAACAAAATAATAATAAGTGTTTCTTGAGCAGCAAATCAGCATATTAGAATGATTTCTGAAGGATCATGTGACACTGAAGACTGGAGTAATGATGCTGAACATTCAGCTTTGCATCACAGGAATAAATTACATTTTACAATATATTCCAATATAAAACAGATATTTTAAATTGTAATAATAATTCATAACATTACTGTTTTTGCTGTATTTTAGATTAAATAAATGCCTTGGTTGGTGAGCAGAAGAGACTACTTTTAAAAACATAAAAAAATAATACAGACCCCAAACTTTTAAACAGTAGTGTATGAATGTTTCTTCTGAAAGAACAAGGTGAAGTAAGGGTGTATTCACACCTGTCTTGTTTGGTTCGATTGAATCGAACTCAAGTTCGTTTCCCCTCTTGGTGCGGACCTTTTTGGCAGGTGTGAATACAGCAATCGCACTCGGGTGCGGACCAAACAACCATACCGAGACCCAGCTGAAGAGGTGGTCTCGGTCCGCTTCCAAACGAACTCTGGTACGGTTGAATGGATGAACCAATGAATGGATGACCTAGCAAATATAAAAATGTATTTGCTAAAAAATAAATATAGGTCATTCTTTTGCAGTTGGGAAAATAAAAATGTAAGCAGGGCAAGGAAAAAGCAATACAACTACTGGCCAAATTCCCATTGCTGAGCCCTGAAGGAGAAGCCTGATGCCGACACCTGGGGCCGCATTACAGAAACTTTCTATCTTAAGTCTAAGGTTAAGATCTGACAAGGTTCAATCTGGCAAGTTCACTCTTCCATGTGAAAATCGCTGTCGGTGGTAAGATTCTGTATTTTCTGTAATACATTTTGATTTGTCCACTACAAACAAAATAGTTGCAGATCATCAACCATTACCTGTTTTCCTTATCCAGCTGGTTTAAATCATTCTTTTTGGCCAGCTGTCTGAGTTTGACCACATCTCCGCTGAACGCAGCCTTGTGGACCTTCCCGAGGTCTTTCTCCTTCACATCATAGCTGGCCGACAGCACGCTCCCCGTCTCAGAGGGGCTGGGGGAGCCCTTCTTCTTCTTGAAGTTGAATATTTTCTTCATGGTCTGTGAAGGCACATCTCCATCAGCGGATTGTCGTTTACCTGAGCTTCAGGTTCTGATCACCTTGCATGTCTCGTCCATCCTCTAAAAATAAATCCTGCAAAGAGGATTAGAGTTATTCAATAATGACAGAAGCACAGGTCGGTCTGTCGTTGGTATGCTGTCCATATGACACTTCTGTTTGATCATGAATTATACTCATTCAAATTATCATAAATCACACATTTTTCTTTCAAAGGGTAGTGTGGTGATACTATGGTATAGTGGTAGTATCAGAGGGTAATATCATAGTATTTTACTCATATAGCATGGTGCTTTCAAGGTACTCCAATATACTTTAAAAACACCATGGTGCTTGATTAAAAACCATGGTAAATCATTGGTTTCGTATTGAATAAGCTATAAACCAGCTAACTATACAAAGTATTATATTATAATCAAATGCGATAAACGTAACATATATGAACACAGTTGTTTAAATAAAAAAGTGATACCTGTTTAGAAAAGCTTATCATCTCAAGAGTGATCAGATCACCTAATCATGTTAATCTGGTAGTCAATGATAGTCAAGCAAACAACCTGGCGAGCTTACAAACTCACCTACATTGTCGTTTCAGTGTGGGGCGTCTATTGTTTATATTTTAAACGAAAAATACAACACGAAAAGATTATAAATGATGCTAGCTATCGAGTAAGACGCATCGGGTCTGCTCAAACGATGAGCCGTTTACGACGCTAGCAAGCTAGCTGCTTCTGTTACCATGGTAACAGTGTGACGATCGTATTTAATCCTAATAATTAAAATTCAAAAAATGTGTACTATATGCAAAACGTCTGGGAAATTTTAAGGACTGTCAAGCTGATATGGTTTTATGTTTAATAAAATAAACGAAACTAATATCAAATCACGGAACTCGTTATGTTTTGCTCTGTTTTCACACGGAATGTCGAACACGCTGACGTCACGATGGAGGCGGGGACTTCACCGCACTCTTCCTGCATTGGACGGTTTGAATCAATGACAGACATGCGTATCATCCAATGAGAGCACAGCTCGTCCTTGCCTAAACTTTCTTGATTGTGATTGGCCGAATCTGTCGTGACAGACAGCCGTATTGTTCAATTGCACACACGGATTCTTTGATCCCACCCAGAATCGGGCGGTTCGTAGTGTATTATTCGTCAGAGCAGAATTTTAAACTATTTAAACCGTTTTGAGCGGGTGGCTGAAAAACAAGAGAGACAGTGGAGCCGAAAACAGAAAATAGCTTCTAATCTTAAATTAGCATCTAATGTTTATGAACAAAATAGAAGCAAGGATCATAACTTTGGATCATCAAGTCTTTGTTTTTGCAGTGCGATCGTGCATAAAGGCTAAAGAGGTAGATGCCGTTTTAAAATGTATTATTTCGCTGTTTAAATTAGCTAGGTTGGCTATGGGTTCTTAATGCAGTCAGACATAAATTCACGTTTTAGTTATTAGCATGCTATTTTGTGTAATTTTAATATTCTTACGTCATAAATGTAACAACCGAAATATAATATATTTGTTTATTATATACAAGCATGTTCATCCGCGGCTGTGTTTGGACTGAGATCGGAATAAGACTTAGTTCATAAAAACCATTAGATTAAATGTTTACATTTCTTAATTTGAACATCATATATGGTTAGTATGCAGTAAGTTAATCTACCTGCATCATGAATCAGTGAAATTATTTCCAATGTTTTGAGAAACACCGTCTAAATGCTCAATTTCTTTGTTGTAACATTTGACAGATGTCAAATAAAGCGGTTTTCATGCTATATATTAATATTAATGAGTCTGGACCTTTTGCTCTTTGTTGTCAAGTTCACCACGAAAAAAGCAAATTCATGTTTTAACATTTTCCCTGAAGCACAATAGTAAACAAATGTGTTTTCAAAATGACAGCTTGTCAAAAGTGCCCAGTGGAATCATAATGTAAAGTTAGTTTGTGATCAGTTGCATGCAAAAAAAAATTTTATTACCCAAAATGCTACTCTTTACACTTGCTTTATTAGTCAGTATTGCAAAACCAAGACCTTTCCTTCTGTATTTCCAGGGGCGGCAACATGAGTTCCTTGCCGGAGGCCACACGCTCCCTCATGGAGGTTTTTAATGGGAAGCTGCAGGATTTTACCAAAGAAATTGACAATGTCCACATGTTGTGGCTGGAGGAGATCCAGCTGGAAGCTTATCGCATGTTTTCCAGGTGAGAGACACTGTAAATGTGAGGTGGACTGTGTTATACACTTCATACTGTCACTTTGTGTGTGTATATGTGAGAATCACTCAGCTACTATGCAGGTTATTAGACATGTTCATAAAAAATATGTTTTGTTGTACAGTGACTTCAGCACCGAGCCAGAACTCATGCCAAAGACTCCATCACAGAAAAAGACAAACCGCCGGAAACGGGTGTCTATGGAGCTTAATGAGTCTCGCAGCAAAAGACGGTAAGGGTTTGGACTCTTCTGGTTTGCCAATGTCTTTGTTCATTTGCTTGGTACAGAAACATTTTATAGGTTTACAGCAACAGCTTTTTGATATACCGTATTGGCCCGAATATAAGACGACCCTGATTATAAGACGACCCCCC